AAAAAGATGACCGGTAAGGGGATCTTAGCCCTTGACTTGGTGTTGTCAGCACCACGCTCACCCAGTGAGCCAACCAGCCATCCCTATACGGGATCCGAACCCGTAGCCCTGGTGTTATCAGCACCACACTCTCCCGAGTGAGCCACGGGCCGGCCCTCAACTGAAGGTTTTAAGAGCAATAAATTACTAGAGCCATCACTGTTTTTTGGGGGGTGGGGGGGCAAGAGACCAAGCACTCACTGAGTTCATCCAACAAGAAGCCAAACTTTATTAATGATAGAAACAGTACAAATTTCAAACCAAGCTGTAGTTACTTTTTGAAACACCAAAAAAAGTCCTCATTTTCTGATGGTTACATTGTTAATTCCTGTAACAGAAAAAAGATAATTAGACGTAGTTACAGGGAAACTGGGAGAATACAAGGCACTAAAACCTAAGGCAACTCAGAACAGGCTTTGGAATGAGGCTTCCTAATTGGCCGATATTAAGCAAAGAAAATAAAGTCACCCATAACTGGCCAGGGCAGAGATGGTCAAGGAATAAAGGCTTGGATACTTACCATAATAGCATTTACAATATCATTACTGTTGTTCTTCAGGGCTCGGACTGCCTTTGCTCTTGACACATTTGCTTGTGACATGACCAATTCTATGTCCTTAACTTCCACACCTGTTTCATCAACCTAAGACAGGAGAGGGAAAAAACTTAATAAATTAAAGGCAAGAATGACTTAAGTAGTTCTCTGGAGTCGGAGTCTCCTGGATCTAGTTCTTATTATAATTAAAAAACCACTTAACTCAATGGGGTTTGAGAGTCTAAAACAGTATAGTTTCTACCTACCAACACAAACACTGCCATACAGAGAGAATTAAAAGTATGAAAGTGTTTTTGGTATACCTCTTCTTCTTCACTCTCCTCTTGTACAGTCGGAGTCTGTGTGTTTTCCTGAATGTTTGAAACAGCTTCACCTTGAACTTTGAATTTCTCAGCAGCTGCTAGCTGTGCTTGCTGAGATAAATCCTCGATCTATGGGCAGAGAATACAAGTCATGTGAATAGATTAGTCTGCAGTAAATGAAAAAGAAATCATATACATCCTTTAAAAACTCTCACTCTAAACCCACTTTCAAGTAACTTACTATACAGCTTTAAATTTGCTCTCACTCAGACTATGTCTCCCAGGTGACATCTGGCAATTTCTGGAGATTTTTTGGCTATCACAACTGGATGCAATGCTGCTAAACATCTGAAATGCACAGGACACCCTTCCACGACAAAGAATTATCTGACCCCAAATGTCAATGGTGCTGAGGTTGAAAAACCCTGATCTTAGAGCAACTCTTTCTTTTGTGTGTGTGTGTGTGTCTTTTTTGTGACCGGTAAGGGGATCGCAACCCTTGGCTTGGTGTCGCCTGCACCGCGCTCAGCCAGTGAGCGCACCAGCCATCCTTATACAGGATCTGAACCCGTGGCGGAAGCAACGCTGTGCTCCCGAGTGCGCCACGGGGCCGGCCCTTAGAGCAACTCTTAAGAAACCTTTACTTACCTTCGCTTCCCCAAAAACTATGTAGGTATCTGAAGCTGGGCTCTTATAGACATCTGGTTTTGTGATGACAAAGAGGATATTCTTAGATTTCCGGATAGTGACTCTAGTAACCCCTGTAACCTGTCGAAGACCCAGTTTGGACATAGCCTAAAGAATAGAAAAGAAAATCATGTTTTCAACTTTAGAAGCAACTCCAGGAAGCAAGGGACACTAATAGTGCTATATCCAAAGCAAAGTTTCTTCCTGGGTCAAGAAAAGTTTATACAAGAATAGAGAACTGGTTTTCAGCACTTCTGGGTTTTCTTCCATAGTCACTTCTGTTATTATGAACTAAACAGAATTCTACCACTACACCAAGAGTTCCATTATAGGTGTTCCACTCTTTAAAGTTGCTTCACCAGAACCTTTAATCCCCATTAATAACTTAAAATCTTACCTTCCGTGCCTTCTTTTCACTCCGACTCTGTTTTGCTTTACTGACTGGTTCTTCATCAATTTCAGCTGCTGCTGCCAGCTAAGATAAAACAGCTATAAGTTAACTGGAAGCTAAGATCTGGATACTGCAATCTCCATGTGGTTTTCCTTTTATGGAAGGCTCACAGTTCCAAGTACAAAAGTCAGCTCTGATCAATTCTAGTTCTCCAATGTGTCTTTGACCCGAGTACTTACACCAGTTAGTAAGTGAATACCCACCTGGGCTTGTTGTGTGGTTGCCTGTGTGGAATCTTGTTCCTCAAGCTCTGGTACTGATTCATCACTGTCAGATTCTGTTCCAGACCCTAAGATGACAAATAACTTTTGCTATTTTATAGTAGAGAGTATGAGGAGGTACCTCATCATGACTTGCCTGGACTAGAAGTCACTGCCTTATGCTAGACCTAAAAAAACTGGTTTGTGTGAAGCCAGTTCAATAGCTCCTGACTTAAGTCATAAATGAGTGTGTACACATCTGTTAAAGACCCAGTCCCAGAACTGAGTAGTCATTAGATACAGCTGAGCAGTTTATGTACTATAACTGCTTTCTTCCCCTCAAGGGCTTTTCTTTTTTTTTTTTTCCTTTTTGTCTTTTTTACTGACCGGTAACGGGATCGCAACCCTCGGTGTCGCGCCCATACTGGGGACCAGCAACGGGATCGCAACCCTCGGTGTTGCGCCCGCACCACGCTCAGCCAGTGAGCAGGAACCAGTCTCCACATAGGATCCGAACCCTCGGCGGGAGCGCCGCCGCGCTCCCAGGCAGCGCACTGTAGCAGTGCGCCACCGGGCCGGCCCCCCCTCAAGGGCTTTTCTTTTTTTTTTTTTCCTTTTTGTCTTTTTTACTGACCGGTAACGGGATCGCAACCCTCGGTGTCGTGCCCATACTGGGGACCAGCAACGGGATCGCAACCCTCGGTGTTGCGCCCGCACCACGCTCAGCCAGTGAGCAGGAACCAGTCTCCACATAGGATCCGAACCCTCGGCGGGAGCGCCGCCGCGCTCCCAGGCAGCGCACTCTCCAGTGCGCCACCGGGCCGGCCCCCCCTCAAGGGCTTTTCTTGTGAGCCAACTGGCCATCCCTATATAGGATCCAAACCTGTGGCCTTGGTGTTATCAGCACCGCACCCTCCAGGGTGAGCCACGGGCGGGCCCAAGGACTTCATTTCTTATCACAGGCAAATATCACTGACCCATGTAACTCCAAATTTTACCCAATAGCCCAACCATTCTCAAAAGGTTCTGGCAAGAGGTGTCTCCAGATATACGTAAGTGAAAAAAAATACAAAATCAAATTGTAGAGGCAGAACAGGCAGAGTGCATACCTCTCAAACTGGGTTGGAGGAGGCCAGAAGCAGTTGTGTACACACATTTGGCCTTATTTTCAAGCCACTTAGTCTAGCAATTCTATCAACATAGCTGGAAAATTCCCAGTGATGTCCATCTAGAGCTCTAATAGTCAAATTCTCTACTAGGTACTGTCCTATGATTTCCCTTTTCTTCCAAACATAATTCACGTATTTTAAATTTCCCTCTATCGAAAGGCCAAGCATCAATAAAGATTACTGAGGAAAAAAAACATATACCAGCACCATTCTCAGGCTAGGAAGAACAGGTCTCTACATATTTAAGAAAAGAGAATCCGTGGGCAACTGGTCATTACTAAGTCTACAAAGTAAAAAGAAAAACAAATAGCTCCAGATTCCCCACTATTTTAGCAAATCCCAGGCCCAGGGACAAAGTTAGTGTGGAAGAGATTAGAGCAGATTATAGGTCTGATAGGTCTTGGTTTTCAATGTCAAATCAGTTAAGGTAAAAAAAAAATGGCAGACCCAGGACTTGGTCTGGACCACATCACACAAAATGAAACACAAGGTATTATCTGAAGTGATGAAAACCAAGATTTGGGTTCATATTTCTAGAACTTTACATTAAAATTATCATTCTATATTCTACATCGAAACACACAAGCGGATACACTGGAGAAAGCAGCGCATCCTAGGGTTAGTACTGGTGGGTAGCCACCAGGAGGGGTGTGGGCAACACACCATGCACACGGCAAACCAAGGCATATACCCTTGTTGTTCTTCAAAACAGGCTGCTTGGCAGAGGGGGGTGGGGCAGTGATCCCAGCAGGTTTGGGGGTGGGCATGTTGTCGAGGACCAACTGGAAAGGTACTCCCCCAGAAACTGGTTCCGGGGGAATCAGAGGCGGCAGCTCATCCTCCTCAGCAGGGGTTGGGGGCTTAGAGGGTGATTCCAGCACCAGGCCAGGTGAGGATGGCAGAAACTGCTGTTTAGGAAGCAGAGGGGGAACTAGGGAGGGAGCAAGAGGCAGAGAGACTGGTGGAGTGGGTGCTGGAGAGACAGATGCTGCTGATCCAGCTTTAGAAAGGACCTTTTCAGAGGTAGGTGCTACTAGAGCGGTAGATGTCTTAGACTCAAAAGGAGTCAAGGGGCCCTTCGGGGAATGAAAAGAATCTTTGTCCTTTGCAGGAGAAATATGGAGGGCTTTTGCAGTCTTTGAAAGGGGTCCTTTAGTACCATTCTTAGCTGAGGGATCTGGGCAAATAGGAGGTGAATTAGCAGAACTCTTCTTGGCTGGTAGACCTTTCTGAGTGGGAGCTGTAATGACTGGTACACTTTCTGAAGTTGCAGCAGTAAGTCCTTCTTTAGGAGCAGTGAGGCCTTTCTTTGCTGAGAGTCCTTTAGATGCCCGAGGGGCAATGGCCCCCATGGTACATGTGACTGAAACTGGGGAAGTAGGGGAGCCTTTGGGAGAAGAAGACACAGCAGTGGGCATGGGAGCCTCTCTGGGGGAGGGAGGAGTCACAGCTGAATGAGTGGGGGCTCCTTTGGGGAACAGGGTAGCTGGGGCCTTTTTGGGGGAAGGAGTAACAGCTGGGGTAGCTGGAGCACCATTGGGGGATGGAGTAGCCGGAACTCCTCTGGGGGCTGAAGTTGCTGGGGCATCTTTGAGAGAGGGAGAAGTCACAGCTGGGGGAGGAGGGACCCCTTTGGGGGCTGAAGTAGCTGGGATCTTTTTGGGGGAGGGAGGAGTCACAGCTGGGGGAGTAGGAGCCCCTCTGGAGGATGGGGTAGCTAGAGCTCCTTTGGGTGCTGGAGCCTCTTTTGGAGAGGGAGAAGTCACAGCTGGGGGAGTGGGAGCCCCTTTGGAGGATGGGGTAGCTGGAGTTAATGGAGCCTCTTTGGGAGAGGAAGAAGTCAAAGCTGGAGGAGTGGGAGCCCCTTTGGAGGATGGGGTAGCTGGAGTTGCTGGAGCCTCTTTTGGAGGGGGAGAAGTCACAGCTGGGGGAGTGGGAGCCCCTTTGGAGGATGGGGTAGCTGGAGTTGCTGGAACCTCTTTGGGAGAAAGAGAAGTCAAAGCTGGAGGAGTGGGAGCCCCTTTGGAGGATGGGGTAGTTGGAGTTCCTTTGGGTGCTGGAGTTGCTGGAGCCTCTTTGGGAGAGGGAGAAGTCAAAGCTGGAGGAGTGGGAGCCCCTTTGGAGGATGGGGTAGCTGGAGCTCCTTTAGGTGCTGGAGTTGCTGGAGCCTCTTTGGGAGAGGGAGAAGTCAAAGCTGGAGGAGTGGGAGCCCCTTTGGAGGATGGGGTAGCTGGAGCTCCTTTAGGTGCTGGAGTTGCTGGAGCCTCTTTGGGAGAGGGAGAAGTCAAAGCTGGAGGAGTGGGAGCCCCTTTGGAGGATGGCGTAGCTGGAGCTCCTTTGGGTGGTGGAGTTGCTGGGGCCTCTTTGGGGGAAGGAGTCTCAGCCGGGGTAGTTGGGGCTTTTTGGGGAGGAGTAACAGCTAGGGTACTGGGAGTACCTTTGGGAGATGGGCTAGCTGGGCTTCCTTTGGGGGCTGGAATTGCTGGGGCCTTTTTGAGAGAAGGAGGAGTCATAGCTGGAGGAGTGAGGGCCCCTTTGGGTTTGGCTGGAGCTCCTTTGGGGACTGAAGTTGCTGGGGCCTCTTCGGGGGAGGGAGGAGTCACAGCTGGGGGAGTGGCAGCTTCATTTGGGGATGGGGTAGCTAGGGACTCTTTGGATGAGGGAGAAATCACAGCTGGGGGTGTGTGGGCTTTGGGTGAGGGAAGAGTCATGGCTGGGGAAGTGGGGGGCCCTTTAGGAGCTGGGGTAGCTGGACCTCCTTTGGGGGATGGATTCTTTTTGGGGGAGGGAGGAGTCACAGGTGGGCAAGTGGGGACCCCTTTGGGAGATGGGATAGCTGGGCCTCCTTTGGAGGCTCGAGTTGCTGGGGCCTTTTTGGGGGAGGGAAGAGTCATAGTTGGAGGAGTGGAAGAATGCTTCTTGGTGTGTGAGACTTTAGGTCCTTGAAAAGAAAGACTGGCCTCCGGAAGAAAGGAAGTTTCAATGGGAGAAACAGGGGATGAGAGACTTCCAACAGGAGCATCAGGGATAGCAGATTCCTTTTTGGTTGGAGGTCTTTTAGTTTGAGGAGACACACTAGTCCCTAAAGGAGATGGGGAGTCAGCTAGGTAAGTCAGAGTTCCTTTGGAAGACTCAGTAACAGAACCACCAGAGTCCTTAGCAGGGCACCCTTCAGGAGAGGAAGCCACAGCTCCCACTGTTAAGGTATGAGAAATACCATCAAATTTCTTTGCACCCGTAGAAGTCCCAGTTAGGGGAAGAGAGGGAAAGAGCACAGGTTTTGGAATTTCAGGGGCCGGTACCAAAGCAGCTAGAGAAGTAGAAACATTCTGGGGGGATAAAGTCACAGTTGAAGTCACAGGGCAACTTCCAGATGTTGGAGGAACCGAAGGTAAAGTAGTAAGAGAGGAAGTACCCTTCTTAGCTGGGTGGTGTTTAGGAGCTAAAAAGACAGGTCCTTCTAGAAAAGGGCTGGCTGTAACTGCAGGATTGGAGGTAACTTTAGCAGTTGTAGGAGCCACCCTAGCAGGGTCAGCACTTTCCAAAGGAAATGTAGTCACTAAACTTTTGAGAAGCAGACCTGCAGGGTCTGGGCTTGCATGAGGATCTGTCTTGATTACAGAGGTCGGGGAGTTATCACCCAGAGGAGTAGCACTGGCTGGCTCACCTACAGGGTGGGGTTCAACAGGGCTCTTCCTCGCTGGGGAGGCTTCAGGAGAGAGAGTGATCTCCAGAGAAGATGAAGTACTTTGGGTAGAGGGGGAATTTTTAGGGGTTGCCAGGGCCAATGGTGGTAGAGTAGGGTCTTTCTTGGTAGGGAGTCCTGCCCCGGCTGAAAAAACAAGAGAGGCAGGTACAGTTTGGAGATCTTTTTGTGTTGGGAACTTTACCAATAATGAAGTAGGGAGATTTTTGAGGTCTTCAGGGGCTGGCACAGGAAGAGAGACTGGTATCCCCAGAGTGGTTGCTACTTGAGTAGGAAGCTCTTTGGAAGCCACAGGTGCCATAACCAAGGCAGTAGAGGATGTTGGTTCTTGACTACCTGTGGGAACTGATGAAATTGGAGAGAGACAAGTAGCTACATCCAAGATAGTAGATACTGCAGAAATTGTCGAGGGATTAGTCATCACAAGTTGGGTGGCTCCAACAGAAGAAACAGGAGCTTCTTTCAAGCCTGGACTTCCTGGAGAAACAGGAATCTGGGCCATTAAAGACTGATGATGAGTGGCAACAGGAGAGCCTTTGAGAATGAGAGGGGCAGCAGGAGATAATGAAGAAGAGGTAGCTACATTTAGGGAGCCAGAAGGGTTGTAAGAGGTTATGCTAGCGATGCTAGAAGGGCTTTTGTCAACAGATGGAGCCAGAGGAGAAGGCGGAGCCCCCACTGAAAAAGCAGCAACAGCAGCAGGAACCACCTCATTTCTGGAAGAAAGGGGAGGAATTACAGATCCCTCAGAATGATAAGAGGCCCTTATGGAGGAATGATCTACAGAAATGGTATTCATTGTAGGATCTGACAGAGCAGTAGGACCTGTTTGATCTACATGTTGGACAGAAGAACTGAAAGAACTCTGATGTAAAGGTGAAAGATGAGAGCCCAAAGGAGTGGAGAAAACTGGAGGGATGCTTGGAGCCATAGTTTTCTGAGAAGAGGTCACCGTAGGAATAGACTGGGTTGAAGAGGATAAGGCAGCAGGTGGACTAACAGGACCCTTTAGGCTGAAGCTTACTAGGTTTTGTGGAGAAGCCAGAGCTGAGGAAGTGGGTATACTTTTGACTTGAGGGGAAGTGATGGCTAGGGGAGTGGTGGATGGTATCTGAGGACAGGAGGCTATTCCAGACTGAACAGAGGCCAAGGTAGTTACAAGGCGGGAAGGAATTGCACTGACTATACCTGGAGGACTGGGGGCACTTTCCGGATTAGGGACAACCTGAGAAGGAGCTTGAATAGGAGAGGTTTTTGGTTCTGAGGGAGCAATGGGGGCTGACAGAGATGTCAGTGACGCTGACTCAGCTACAGTAACTGAAGGAGGTGAGGTAAAAGGGTTAGGTGGAAAAACAGAACTTTTCTGAACTGAGTGGGGAGCCAAGGCAACCAGAGCTAAGGGAGTTGAAGAGGAATGGGCACCTTTTAGAGTTGGAGTTATCATGGGAGCAGCCAGAGCTAAGGCAGCTGGGGAGATGGGAGGCCCTATTAGGTTTGGTAGGAAAGTAGGGGTGTCAGGGGCAGTTCCCAAAGGCTGGGCTGTCCCAGAGGATGACTGAGGAAAAGGAACTTCAAAAGGGGTTGAGGAAATACTAGAGGGAGAAGGGAATGGGGGAGGCTGGGGAGCAGTTGCCAAAGGGCATTGTTGAGGGGCCAAGGAGCAAGGAGGATTAAGGGTAGGTCTAGGCTGCTCTAAGGCAGTAGTGACACTCAAGGTTGAAGACCTAGGAAGCAAAGCTGGAGGAAAAAAGCAAATAGGAGATAAAGGGAAGAGAAAAAACAAAACAAAAAGGTGAGTTATGCAGCCCAACTTGGTTCAACATGCCTCACAGGAAATCCTGGAGTTTTCAATCTGAGAATGAAAGTCACCACACAGGATTAGACAAAGGTGACAACACCAACCTTTCCCAAATACATTTCAGTGGTCAAGTGAGAATACTAGCACACTTCCCAAGTTCTATCAAAATAAACCAACTATTTTAGGGTGTAGAGAACAGTCTAAAGAGCAGCCTACATTTAATTGGGGGGACAAAATGCTTCCTACCCTTTCCCTGTTGTGCCCTCCCCTTCCCTCTAGAAAGGGATCCCATTCTCAAGTCCTTGCAACCAACAGAATTACCACTAGAACTAGACAGTTGTGCTATCCTGTTCACCCAAGGATCATGAACTAATTAAAACAGACATCAAAAACAGGAACAAGTTAGGTAGTGATCAGTGGTAAAGACGGGGCATCAGGCTTCCACTAGACCAGGATAAATCTGAGTGTTAAAAGTTTTAGGAAGGGAGGGCAGCCCGTGGCTCACTCGGGAGAGTGCAGTGCTGATAACACCAAGGCCGCGGGTTCGGATCCTATATAGGGATGGCTGATTAGGTCACTGGCTGAGCGTGGTGGTGACTACACCAAGTCAAGGGTTAAGATCCCCTTACCGGTCATCTTTAAAAAAAAAAAAAAAGTTTTAGAAGGGGGTGCCAGGCACAAGTCAGTTATTCCTAAAATTGCAACTCTTCAGAATTTAGTACTAAATATTAATTACTAAGTCACTTAGCCTCCTTATGCCTCAGTTTATGTATTCACCAAAACCAAACACAGAACCAAAAAAAAAAAAACCCCAACCACAAATGGGTTGGACTCCAGTCTCTACAGACCTTCCTAGGTAATGTTAGCTCTTGGACATCAATCCAAGATGAATTAGATCTCCAGGGAAAGAACTAAGTCACAAAGGTGGAAATTGTATTATGAAACTCTAACCCAACTTGTTAAACCAGATTATCGTTCTATTTTGGAAGCAGAGAATTGTTGCGGAAAGAATACATTGGTTCCCCACCCCTTAATCTGGATAAGTATTTCATTCTATCAAAACAGACCAATATTTGGCACTACAGTAAAATGAAGTAAAAGGTTTACTGAATAATGGAAAAAACACGTTTGTCATTTAGGAGGTAACACAGGATTAGATCAACAAATGCTCAACGCCTAAATGGGAATGAAAACAGAAAAAAACAAAAACAGCCAGCTGCTTATTAGCTCAGTTGATTAGAGTGTGGTGCGGACATCAAGGTTGGGTTTGATCCCTGTACCAGCCAGCCATAAAAAGAGCCCATAGCATCCAAATTCACTTAACCAGTAATTCTAAAGTTCTTATAGTATCTTACTATAAAAGAATGATAGGTGGCTCAACCAATTTTTCCTAGTCGAAGTCTTATGATTACAGTACAAATACTTTCAAACATATTAATCAGATTTAAAACATGGAATGTTTTCTTCTGACTGCATATCAAGATGGGATCAGGCTGAAACTACTTGCTTTGATACCATAACTAATTCCCTGAACTAGTTTCTTCATTCATTTCTAATAAACAATTTAGTTATAGTTAGTGACAAAATCCTGAGTCTTTATCACTGGTTCTCCCTTAATATGATAAACCTACTGTAGAAGCTCAGACTATTCAGGAATACATTTAACAGCACTGCCTAAGGACTGCTTCAGAAGTAACTGGCATTAGTTTTAAAGCCTGAAACCAGACTACTCTAAATTCACCTGAATTTTAAGTCTCCATGTTTGTAAAATTATTTAATGACACTATCTCTAAAATCTTGTTTAGCACTGAAATTACAGGATCTTTAGAGAACACTCCTTTATTTTTTCTCCTTCCTTAAGTCTACTGTAGTTCAAGGATTTCGTATTGTTCATTCCCCAACTCAGGGGCCCCTCCTTTCTCTTTTCTAGCAGCTGTATTAATCCCTTCAGCTGCTAAAATCAGACAGGTGGGAGGGAGAACCACAATGCTTTCGACTATAAACGACTCTATTTTAACTCCAAAAGGAGACAGAAATTGCCTGTGACAGGTGGAATTTAAAAAAAAAAAAAAATTTACTATTTAAAAAAGTGATGATGATGAAGATTACAGCATGAAGATTCCCTTGGCTTACTTCTGCACAACCGACTTAGCAAGACTATCACTTTTGCCTTCACACTATATTCTACATCCATTAACTTCAACGCTGAAGATCAGTCAAAAGATTTATTTCAATCCTGGATTCCAGACAATGTGGCAGGCACTATTCCAACACACTAGAAATAGCTCAGCACCAATCCCTAAAACAAGTTAACTGACCTAGGAGGGCTCTGGGGCCCAGTAGGACACATTTACCACCAGTACACATCTCATCCAGACATGTGATGAAGGCACAATGCCAAGCCCGGCTATCTAAAACCTTGATGCAACTTGCTAGCTGAAACTTCACAAAAGCTCAGGTCTCCTTGCCCTGCCCGTGTGTCATTCAGTTCCAGTAAGTAAGGATCACAAAGCCCTTTCCCTGCTCAGTTTTCCTACTTGAGGTGGGGGTTCCATAGCAGAGCTTCTTTTGAGGCACTTGGCATAACCTACAAAGCAGGCTAGGGAACTCTTACTGTCCACAAATCTAAAGATACTATTTTTATTCCATCTCCCTAAAGAAGACCTTCCAGGATAGCAGTTAATCTTATGATATCTCCTTCCTGGTAAAGCAGCAACCCCATCTTCTTTAATGAAGGTTAACTCTAAAAGACAAGCGTGTATTTCTTCTTTATCACTTTACCCACCAAATGGTCTTAAGGCCAATATAATTAACGGCAAGGGGGCTAGGGGAACCTACCTGTCTCAGCCTGGGGCTGTGGCAACTCCTGCTCTGTAGCAGGGACGGTTTCTGTGGCTTCTCCGGGCATATCTGAAGGGAACAAAAAGGAGGCCTGAAATGATTGGGATGCATTCGCTTACCTTACCAGAGCCAAGCATTCTTAAAAACTGTGAAGGACTTAAGAAATAAAATATAAGGGTGTTTGGGGACAACCCTCCCCAAAGCAGCCGGAATAGGTGGGAAATATGACGTGACCCTCAGACCTCTATCAAGCGAAATCACCTTCTCTCACCGAGCCTCTTCACTCTGCAGAGAGCGTACTTCCCAATACCCGGGGTTCGTTTTACCCCGCACTCCAAACCCCACAAGGCCAGCAATCGCCACTGCGTTCTCAACCCAAGGACGAGGATACCGGTCTGGCTTCCGACCATGGGAGACTTCAGACGATACCTTGAATCCCCTCCCCTTCCCTCCTAACATGAACGCTGCCTGGGCAGGTGCCTCCAGAACTCCTGTTTGATGACTATCGAGCGTCAGCAGGAGACAGAGTGTGCCTTAAGTACCAACTCTCGCTTGTCACAGCAAGAACGGTGTTGGGGGGTTCTAAGGCTGTGACCCCTTAACCTCCTCCGGATTCTCTTGAAGCCACTCCCAACAGCAGACACATTCCGCTTCCGCCCCCAACACTGCAACGGCTCCCATCTCCCCAGGGCCGGACTCCGGGCCCGGCCCGCGGCCCTTCTGCCCTGCTTTGGCCAGGACAACCACCGCAGACCCCATTTTGTCCGAAGGCTCAGGAAGGAGTAGGAACGCTGTAGCCCCGTAAAGTCTCCAACTCTCCTTAACTTCCAGCCCCTGGGGCAGCTTAGCCCGCGAGAAAGGCGGATGGCGGCGGATCTTGAATAACGGCGTAGAAAGAACTTACTGTGCGGAGAACACGGAACCAAGATGGCGGTAGAAAGAGAGCGAGGCAGAGCGTGACCCGCCCCTGTTGCAGAAGGAAGCCTGGCGCGCGCGGGGGGGGGGCGGGGCGTGGCCAGGATCCGATTCCGGGTCAGGAGCTGCCGGCAGCCACTTCCGTTAACTTGTGACCCGTCCGGCTGTTCCCTAGGGCGGGGGTACTGACGAGGTCTAAATAAGGGTAAGGATTCAGAACAGGACGCCTGGCCCGGCGAGAACCCTCCTCGCGGAGCCACGCAGTCCTGAGATAGCTGATCCTTGACTCCCTGCGAGCGTGTTTGATACCCGAAGGGAAACCGTGAGAGAGAAGCATGCTCCGCCCTCTGGTCCGCAAAGTAGAGACAGCGCTATTAAGGCAACTTCCCGATTTCATGGAAATATGAGAAGTTAAATGCAGGAAAATATGAGACATTTAATATGAGACATTAAATAGTGGCGAATGCCACAGAGATTGCATTCATAACATTGGAAAGTAGAAGTGACCTTTCAATCATTTTTGGAATACATGGTTTAGGCCGATGTTGAAATTACGAAGTTACAGATTCCCATCCCCAGAAGGAAGAATATAGGCATATATACAATTCTTTTTGTCTGCTATTTTGGACACTTCTTAGACATACTGAAACATCCATTCTAGGGGTCCGGGACCCAACCTTAAGAACCCATGCTTTGTACAGTAGGGTCCTTGAAAAGTTTTCCTAATAATAAGGCTAATGACTCCCATACCTTATTTCTCAGCCCTACAAAAAGACTCAACAAATATGTCCCTGGATTATCTAAACCACGTGACATTATATGATCTAATGGTTTTAAGACGATTGTAGTTGCCTTAAAGGAAGTGTGAAAATTTTAAATGTCTGAAAGCTACTTTTAAATTTCTGAGGTGTTTACCATTGTGAAGTGAGGATTGGTTAATGAGGATTAAGTGAGATAGTGGAGTTTACCAGGAATGTGAAATTCTGAATTTCTCTTCAGATAGGAAAGGCAATATTGTGGAATGATTAAGAACAGACTCTGAAGTTAGACTCCTCTGAATCTCAGTTCGGTCACCTTGCACACTTTAAATAATCTATTTTCACCTCAGTTTTCTCATCTGTAAAATGGAGACAGCAGCTACTTCATATATTAGAAAGATCAAATTAGGTAATATGTGTACATTACTTAAAAAGTGTTTATTTTTACTATTAAATTGTAGATAGAATTAATTTCTACCTAGCTAAATATGTGATTTGGAAGATTTTCAATGCAGTCCATGACCTTCAGAAGAAAGGGCCAGAAATAGCCAATCATCTCCTTAGACAAAACTACATATTGACCATTCCAACCCCCACCCCCCCCCAGCAAGCTCACAGACTTTTTCTGGCTCTCTGTTGTGTTGACTAGCCAAGGAAGGATGTATTTTCTTTTTCTTTGGGTTTCTTTATAAATTGGCAAGTTTGGAGATGGAAGTCATTTTTGTGCCCTCTGTTTCTACAATTCTGACATATCAGTGAATTCACAAATCAGTGAGGGAAAAGGGAAGTTGATAAATAGGCTTTGTGCATGCTTCTGCTCTCTTTAGGAACCAAACATTTCTTTTTAATGCACACAATGTGTTCTGTAATTAATAATTTTATGGGCCAGTATACAAGCTTTTATCCAAGGGCTTTAATATTAAAGCATTAAAATACTTTAATGTTAGACATATTTACAAAACCATAATGAAAGCTTAACATCTCGTTGAAAGCGTAATACCAGTCTTTCTACTCTTGTTCTGAGTTCTACAGCTAGACTGAGTCTTTAGTAATTTTGTATTCAGTTTTAACTGACCCACTTTTAGAACCTGAATACTGAATAATCTATATAGTACACAGAAGCTCAAATAATGAGGAATTTTACACAATAGACTTTAATATTTTTTTATTAAAATAGAGGAAAAAATTCAAAGCATTTCAATGTAATGACTACATTATAGTCTGTTAAAAGAAGACTGTGACTATAGAGGAAAACAATGTTAAACGAAATACACAGAAAGTACCAGCCTGACAGCTTACTTATTGTTTCTCAGAAGATAGAATGTGCACTAGAACTGTTTTGTTTAGTTTGGTTATAAAACCAGGCCAGAAAAATCTGACATTTTAGAAACCACCGTACAAAATCAAACATGAAAAAAAACAAAACTTTTACAATTTAAGTACTTAGATATGTAAAAAGTCCTTTTTTTTTTCTTTTTAAAAAGATGACCGGTAAGGGGATCTTAACCCTTGACTTGGTGTTGTCAGCACCACGCTCAACCAGTGAGTGAACCGGCCATCCCTATATGGGATCCGAACCCGGGGCCTTGGTGTTATCAGCACCACACTCTCCCGAGTGAGCCACAGGCCGGCCCAAAAAGTCCAATGTTTTGACAAGCACAGCAGGTTTTATGTTGTCGAAGTAGGTTATTTTTTCTAAGCTGCTTCTTTGCAGTAGACTACTCCAGTTGCTCTCTAAGGGAAAAATTTAGGAGTTATGATTGCAATAGTTGTAAAAAACTCTGTACTAGGCCCTAGTATTGTCAATCTAGTAACTCATACCTTCTGAATTGAAGTTTTGGTAGGCTTAGATGCCCAGTTTAAAATGATTTTTAAAATGTGGGCAGTGGGGTGTGGCCTAACCAATAAAAATATTAGGAAGCAAAATTAGGAAGTAACTAAATATATACTCCAGCTATAATTAACTTAAATGTCTAAGACTTAAAAGGACAAAGCCCTCATTCATCCAGAAATATGGAAGTTGTATCCAGTGAGCTGAGATGAAAATCTTGGGCATACTGTGCTCACTTATCTCTATAAATGACAGCTGGTAGAACTGAGTATCAGAATTCTTAGAATTATCTTTGTATAATATTAAATTTCAAAAAATTATCTACAGTTCACTTATTCCTCCGTTTATTGATTCTTCCAGGAACCTTGACATTCTCCTTTTGTAGTCTCATGAAGTCTTTTTAACATAAATTATTTCATGAGAAATGGAAATTTTACTTTGAGCATTAAGACTCATACATGGTCCTGTCATATTTATTAGATGGCTCTTGAGGTATTTGATACTTGATTGAAGACACAAGATATCCACATTAGTTTGAGAGGAGTTGTTATGTTCAGAAATCTTTTTGTAAATCTAAAATACAACAGAAACAAAGCAAAACAAGAAAAGAATAACAAAGAAAATAGAGTAGATTTTTATCAAAGAATAGCAAATGAAAACAAAAAGTCCACTTATTTTCACATTCTGATTTGCTTAATGCTTCCATTAAATTCACATCATGCATAAAGATTTGCTTTCACATTTGCTGAAGCCCACATTATAGGCTGAGCTAGTAGGAACAACAAGAATACAAAGGATTTAATACGGCCAGTTGGATGGCAGCTTCAACGAAGCTTTCCAAGTTCAGAGTCATCACTGTTCATTCAAAAAGCACATATTTGAGTGTCTACAATGAGTAGAGCATTACCTTAGCCACAATTCCTTAAACCATCACATGCTTTGTTTTCTTTTTTTCTTTTTGGTGGCTGGCCAGCACAGGGATTGAGCCCTGTTCCTGGTATTATCAGCATCACACTCTAACCAAATGAGGCAACTGGCCAGCCCAACCATCACATATTTAATTAAAAAATGAAGTGGAGAGGAAGTTTGTATTTCTATAACATTGCCACAGTTTTCTAGGGTATCCATTAATCTCTTGAATATTCACTCTGATGATTTTTTTCCCATTGCTCAGGTCTCTCCTATTGAAAGAACATTTGACACTGCTATCCTCTTGCACCTCCTTTTAGTTACTATATCCAACAGGATTTTATCAGTTCCCTACTGCACTTGACCCTTGATAATTTCCTTGAAACTGTCCTTTCCATTGGCTTTTGTAACCGTTTCCCTTTCATCTTCTCTCTACTTCTAAATCATTACCAAGTCTCCGGGATGGTTCCAGTATTTGTACCTTTCAGAGATCTCCAACACTATTGTCCTAAAGGCAATAGCCCAGCTGTCCTCTTGGGCTCTATTCTAACCCCTCTGCCTCTCCCCAGATTTATCTTTCTAGATACAGCTACAAATCATGACACTCCCTTCCTCAAAAACCTTTAATAGCCTCCCTGTTTCTATTGAATTAAGCCCAAACTTCTAAGTCTGGAATTCAAGGCCATATATTCTTTGGCTTCAGCCTCCTTCGTCATATTTACATTTCATCACTTCCAGACACCTTTTTAAAAATTTTATTTATTTATTTATTTATTTTTAAAAGATGACCAGTAAGGGGATCTTAACCCTTGACTTGGTGTTGTCAGCACCACGCTCAGCCAGTGAGCGAACCGGCCATCCCCATATGGGATCCGAACCCAAGGCCTTGGTGTTATCAGCACCGCACTCTCCCGAGTAAGCCACGGGCCGGCCCTTTTTTTTTTTTGTTTAAAAAGATGACCGGTAAGGGGATCTTAACCCTTGACTTGCTGTTGTCAGCACCACGCTCAGCCAGTGAGCGAACCGGCCATCCCCATATGGGATCCGAACCCAAGGCCTTGGTGTTATCAGCACCGCACTCTCCCGAGTGAGCCATGGGCCGGCCCTTTTTTTTTTTTTTTTAAAAAGATGACCGGTAAGGGGATCTTAACCCT